CTTTGCGCGATCGAAATCAACGTTCCCCCCAGCGTGACGCGTTACGGTTCAAATTGAAGTCGCGTAACGTGGTTAAAAGGTCGGCACGTGATACGGCCGAGCGTGTGTAACGATTGTTTGCGAATTACTCGATCGTTCTCTTCCGTTTGCATCCTGTTGCGTCCTCGGGACGGGTTTATCGTCGATCCATCATCATTGTCCTCGGTAATAATCCTCGTTTGACGCACGTTTCCAAGGCGTCGAAGCGACACGCTTTCGAAATTACGTTTCTGCGAGAGAATGGACGTTTCGAATTTCGTACGTGCATCGACTCGTACGTGTCGCGTGTACAAATGTAAATCCTTCTCAGCCGGCTCAAGTTTCCTCCTCAAGGTTAATCTTTCGAGGCTTGCCTCGAAACGAAGCTAACCTAACCTAATAAGGCGGGGTAAAACTCGAGCCTGTTGCTCGGCTTGATATTGCTTTAATTATCGGGACGTTCCATTGAAACGTGACGCAAATACCCTCACTTTGTGAACTGGCTAAAGTTTAATACTCGACCTTCCCTTTTAATATAATCTCTTCTTTAAGAAAATATATATATATATATATCCGAGGGACAAAAATAAAATAAAAAGAACGGAAGAGAGTCGGAAAGTTAATATTATTTTCGAAGTGATTTTTCTTTATTTATCGAACGTTGCCGAGTCTAAAATGTCCTTTTTCTTTTCTCTCTCATTCTGCATCGTATTCGTTTCGAGGATATTTCTTGCCTCTCCGCAACGCAATTCCGACAAGCTTTTTCCGTTACCTTTCGAAACAGGTTCTCCGATACACGGAACGGCCGCAAATGGGGAAACGCGTTTCAACGTGCTAAGCAAAATTCATACGCGCGATTCATAGCTGACGCTCGAGGAAAAATACGAAAAGAATCGCGGGTAAGCAAGTTTTCACCGGTTCGGTAGAACCGAGTCGCGAAGAAATTACCACCAAAATGTATTTCTCCACCACGAAAATCTTCCTTCCTTCCTTCGTCGAAAATCTATCCATTTATAACTTTTCAACTTTTCTTCCCGCCATCGATGTTTTAATTTCCTCTTCCAATCTCTCGAGTCACGTCCAATTACTCGCCAACCCTTTCGAACGCCTGTGCTCTCCCTCGTCAGGGACCCGTTGAATTCGATCCGGGTATCGGTTGCGTTGCACTCTTTGTCGGCCGATACAACAGGGCCCTCCCGTCCGTTAGATTTCCAACCATCTTTCAAAACTTTCACCCTCCCCACCCGCTCCATTTTTCCTTTCCCGCGGAATAAAGGCTGTAATGTATGCGAGCCAGCTGCGCCGAAACCTTTACGACCCGTTTTTCGCAGCCACCCTCCCCCCCGCCCCCCTCCATTCCATCCCGGCGACCGGACATAAAGAGGCAGGAAAGATATTCTGCTTGGCCTATTCTTTTTGCCAGCCCTCCTCCTCGGGAGGAAGGTTATAAATACGGAATATCTCTTTCTTCTTACCCCCGCCAAAGGTAAGAGAACGATTCTTCGTTATATATATATATATATATATATCTTTATCCTTTGCCAGCCAGAAGAATTAAAAGTCCAGACGACGAAAAGAAAGTCGTGTCGGTTGCTCGGCCGACAACTTTTTCAATCGAAGAAAATTTCGAAACTTGGACGACGAGACGTAACAGAGAGAGAGAGAGAGATTATCTATCTCACAAACACAATAATGTGCAATGATCGATGAAACGCGATAACTGTTTCGATTACTAAAGAGGGAGGATCGTATTTGCAAAGTTCACGAATGATGGTGAACACGCAAGCGTGAAGTTATCGCCACGCGGTATATTTGTAGTGGCACTGTGAGACCATTTCGAGGGAGTGACGGGGCTCTGTTATTCTCGAATTTATTCCCTTCCTCGAGAAAATGCAAATAATTCAAAGTCTCTATGTGTATTCGGAAAGTAATTTCCTTTTTCTCATGACACTTTTTTAAGCACATCACGAACAGTCGAATTGGACAATTCGATCTAGCAGCAATTTCTCGAGTTAACGTTGGAACGAAATTTTGAAAACCAAGTCTCCACACTGACGACACTGTTAACGCCGAAAATGCTCTTTTCGAATTTTCAATCTTTATCTTATCACGAAAAAAACGCGCAAGAATCGAGCAAAGTTTTCGTATAAATAAACCACGAGATGCCAACTCTCGAAACGCGTATATAATACCAACAACACGATTTAGAGTGAAGTTGGCTGGATAAAAACGTTCAACGCTAGCGACACTCGCGTGAAGAAACGAAATTACTTTCCGAGCAAGCCAATGCTCATGGATGGACGAAGAAAATGGACGAAAGTGAGCGACGCGAGCAAGAAGATAGATCTAGAGTGTGACAAAAATTTGTCGTATACGGGACAGATTGGAGTGGCGAAAGAACGGGGGCAGGGGGACGTAGGTTGGCTTGGAAAATTCTGGTCCGAGTTTAGCGTCGCGGTAATTATACTCATCAACAGAAGTGTCACAAGCAGACTCGGTTTATTATATGACCGCTTCACGGTGGTGCCGCTTCACAACGTCATTGTTTTCCAAAGAATTTAAATTAAATTCCCCCGTGGGGGAGGAGGCGCGGGGGAAAGTCGCAATATATCCCGCGTGTGCAATACAATGCGAGCCTAATAGTTTTCGATCTACATTATAATTAGATCTCGTTATACCGGCCTGTAATGAAGCGCGCGATGAGTGGGCAAATTAATCCGACCCCTTTATTATACCCATTCCGAATCGATCAATCCTTTCGACGCGCGCCATCGAAACGTGATGTACACTAAGGTTATGTGTATTGCAATCGCGTGAAATGAACGAGCGAATTTCGTATAAAACACGTTAAACACAATGATTATTTCGAGCCGATCGGAGGAACAAATCTGTTGTGTGTAGAATCAAAAATATGCATGTATATTTGATCAAGATTCAAAAACGATCGATTCTCCTGCTTTCGACGAACGCTTTCGAAAATTGAACGGAAGAACGAGCTGACCAACGAAAACAGGCCAATTGGACGGCCAATTTTCCCAATTTTTCGAAATGTAAATTTGGACCGTTGTATAGGTTTGGTCGGGTAGGGAAAGAAGAGCTAATACGGGCGATACTTCTTCTACAATTCTAGCGGGTAAAACGAATTTCTGCATTACCGCGTAACAGTCTGAGGAAGCACGTACTTGCATAAAGTCGTTGTAACGCGGACGTAAATGCAATACGTGTTTCCGCGCCAAAATGCACAGAGACTCGAAACGTTGTCCTCGGCGACGACCGAGCACGACATCGACTTAAACGAATTTCACCGACAAACTCCGCGACGATGTTGTCATTTTCCCCGGGAAAACTCATTTTACGGGGACGCCAGAGAATACTCCCCCGGAATCCGTATCATCTTGAAAGATTCCAACGAATGCCTCTCGTTTCTCTTTCATCCCGCGTTACCCTCTTTCAATAACATCATGCAAATAAATATATATATACATACATATAAATGTATCGTGAATAAGGAAGGAAAAATCGATAAATAATTATCCGAAACAAAAATATTCCCGATATTCAATTCCATCCTGCCTCCCAACGAATTTCGATCGATCGAACAGAAGACTATCCCTCGTATTTTCTTATTCGCGTTAATTTTACAACAACAGGTTTCAACGCGTATCGAATTGCTTGCGTCAATAAATAAATAAATAAATAAATAAATAATAGAGGAACGAGGTAACGAGGTATTTCTCGCGGAACGAGATTTACCGACTCGTATCGTAAATATTTGCGAGTCATCGACGTTAATTCAACGACGGGTTGTCGTCGTCGTCGTAGTCGTTGAGCGATCGATGCTCGGCTAATTACCGAACGGGGAAGGGAGAGGGGGACAAATTCGAGAACCTGTCTCTCTCTCCCTCTCGAAAACTTTGAGAGAAAGAGAGGAAAAAAAAAGAACCGGAACGCGGAAGGATTATTCATATGAATTCCGTTGACGCGGGAGCCAAGTTGCCCGATAAAAATCTGCATTATCGGCGGGACGCCGAGTGTCGTGAGCCATGCTCGAGTGCCCACTTCGCGTCCGACAACCGATTCGCTTTACGACCTTCGCCGCGGATTGTTATTACCCGCGTCCTTTTCCAGACCTCTGTGTTTTCACGTATCTGTGTTTACATCTATCATCACTACGACTCGGCTTCGTCGAGAACGAACGTTCACTTTTTTAAAGAAAATATTTCAACGGGAGAGAGAGAATTATAACGCGTGACGCGTTTCTGCATCTCCATTCGATTCATCCTCGTTCCACTCTAAAATGATTATTTGCGAAAAGAAAGGGGGGGAAAAAAAAAAAAAAATCCTTTCGATTCGCCTCTCGTAAAGCGAATGTTTCATCCGTATGCGCGGCAAGTGTATCGCAGATTTGAAAAATAATTTATTTCACGGGCAATTTTTCACCGTCGGCTTAACGCGAGAAGAGATTTAACGAGAGAGCCGGCTAGTGCACGACGCGCGTGCACCCATGTTAAGGTATATTTCGTGTCGCCGCCCCGGGAATGTAAGATTGAATATCGTGAAAATCGATGAATTATTTCCACCCTATTAACGAGGCCCTCCGATACTCCACCGGCGATAGATCTTGGCCAATTCCTCCTTTTTTTCGGGGAGAAATATCCATAACCCCCAGGCTCGTCGTAATTCTTAATTTCGAAGGTGCTCCAGGCTCCGCTGCTCTCGATAAAAGGTTTTTAAACGGAACGTCGATACGTTTCATTTCTCGACCAAAAGGGGGGGGGGGGGAACGGCGAAATTCATTTTCACGAGTTGAGCGGCCGGACAAAATTGCGCTGGAAACTTCACTCGTTCCTTTCGCGCTCCTCCGAATTTTCCTTCTCCCCATCTTTTTTTCGAAAAATCGCGCCACGTCATAATTCTTCCGCTCGATAGCTGAAAAAAAAAAAAAGAATTTTTCAACGCCCCATCGTCCATATGTGTTGCAGTACCCATGGAGTCGATACAGGGAGTGGCAGGACAGAGGGCAACTTTGCCCTGTAATATACAACCCCGTGAGCCGAACGATGCCGTCTCCATGGTGCTCTGGTTCAAAGAGGACAGCGGCGAACCTCTCTACAGGTAAGCCATCATTGTTATTTACGATGGGTATTATTCAAAATCCCTGCGCTCCTCTCCTCTCGATATTTCCGCCGATATATGATCGTCACACCTCTTTCGTCGTAATTTCTTGTCTGCAAAAAAAAAAAAAAAAAAAGAGAGGAGAGAAAAATATATCGTTCCAAACCTGGTCGATATATTCGGATTTACGTACCTGCTTTCTCCAAGTCTTCGAGTCGTTGTTCGAAATGTTGCGAGAATACGGTAAAGGGGACGAAGAAGGGAGATTTCCCGCAATTTTCACGTGTGGATTCGCGAATAGCCGATACATGGGGGAGGGGAGGGGTGAAATGGGATTTCGTTAAGCCGCGAGTCACCTTTGCCCAGGTTTCCCTCGACAACCGATTCCATCCTCGTAAATATCGCCGCCTTTATGAAGAGAGGAGAATCTTCGTGAAAAGAGGATCAACCTCAAAGTACTGGCATTTCTTTTTTTTTCTTGGTAACGCGAGCCATCGTTTCACCACGATTGCACATTTCTTCGGTCTCCATTTAAAATTCTCTTTCTTTTTCCATCCGATCCTCCATGGGAATCAAAATTTTGTAAAAAAAAAAAAAAAATCGATTCCAACCAAGTTGAGAATGTTGTTAAAATTTTTTGTAAATCGACCAAGAACGAAAATTCGATTACGAAAATTTTAATCAACGTGAATAATTTGAACCGCGACCGGACATTGAACGATCGTTATTCAGGAGGAATCTCGGAGGGTCGTGAAGGCGCGCGAGCGACTGTTTTTAAAAAACAGCGACACCACAGCAGTAATACTCTAGCCGGCTTTCCACGCCTTGGCATTATCGCGTCTCGTAAAAAAAGTCTTATTTCGTTCCAAGAGAAATACATAAAAAGCCGGAGAGAGGGAGAACTCTGCTTTTTATTCTCTCGGTTGAACCATTCTGTCGGTACTAGTGCTACTCACACTGCTGCTCGTGCGCACGATAAAAACTTTCGAAATGTCCTCCTCCTCCTCCTCCTCCTCCTCTTCGCGCCACTGATATTCGACATGCAACGGAGGCGGAATTCGATATTAATATTTAATCTTTGTCGCAGCACGGGGAATAGAAAAGTTGAAAAAAAAAAAAAAAAATACGAAGCGGAATAAATTATTTCATTTAGGAGCGATGTGCACAGCGTTTGTACAGAGTGTTCCGAAAGTGGAGAGGTAAGAGGTTAAAAGAGAGGGAGGGAGGGAGTAAAAAAAGGACCAACCAATCAAAAAGTCGAGAACTCTTTTGTGGACTTGTGTTTCTGACCTCTTTTCATAGTTGGAAAGTTTGGCTAGCTAGCTATCTTCGAAACACGTATAGCTGGAAAGGAAATTCGTACGAATTCGCTTGGTTTAAGAAAGTATGCGTCGCGTAGTAGAGCGACGTCGTTTATACAAAGTGCTTCGAAAAAATGAATAATTCAAAATTGAAGAAGAAGAAGAAGAAGAAGAAAGAAGGAAAAAAAAAAAGTCAAGCAATCGAAAAGTCGAGATGAAAAATGTTTGGCGGACCTCTATTTTATGTCGCTCTTTCAAAGAACGCGACATCACAAAATTTAGCTGCATCTTCGAAATATATCCGGTATATACAAACGACAAACGAAACGAAATACATACGTCATGATGTCGTTTGTACACTGCTTCGAGAAGAGCCGGAAGAATCGCTCGAAGAATCCGGATAAACGAGAAATATTTCGTGGACTTTTATCATGATCGTGATATTCTTTTCATTTTTAGAAAAAAAAAAAAAAAAGAAAAGAAAAAGCAAAATACACAAAGTTTGCCTCGCTCGTATCAAAAGCGAAACGAGAAAAATAGTTAAAGAAGTCTTTTCGTTTCGTGTGGCTTCTTCTCGTCCCGAGACACGAAAATTTCCATCTTCGAAAAACAACGAAGAACGGAAAGCGAGCGAAACTCCTTAACCGAATTCGGTTAATTTAATTTTTGAAGGTGATGCCCGGCCAGACGTGTATCCGTCAGACGTGCTCAGACGGGACGAGATGCTCGCCAAGAGTCGTTAATTCGCAGTGAGCGAGCGATCGAAGTTGACGATCGTTTTGTTCCCCCTCTTCTCGCCCAGCCTGTGCGACGCTCCGCGAAAAAGGGAAGGATCGATGATAGTCTCCTTTCAAGACTCGAGGAGGCAATAACGTTGCACGGGGAGGGAGAGTTGCTTCCTCGAGTGGATAGTAGTGAATTTCAAAATGGCTGTCGATCAATCCCCCTTATTGCCCATGCATTGGTACAGCTGTGTGTACATGCATAAATGGAGTTACACAGGATACGCGTGTGCATGATACGCGGCCGTCTTCGTGACGTACACTTAAATCATAGCTCGCGTCTAATTGATTCCGTCCCAACGTTACGAAGCAAATGAAATGCAAATACAAATTGCATCCGGTTTTAATTAGAAATCAACCGGAATTATTTCGATGGATTGTTTTCGTTGTCGAAACGACTCGGCACCATTTACGTGTATATAATTTTTCGATTTCTTACGTTTCTTGTCTCGCTATCTCCATATCGCTGTCCTCATTTTCTCTATCGCTAATTCCTTGACGAATACGATCGATCTGTCGTTTCTCAACAAAATTAATTTCGCCTTCGCTCGAGTTAATTTTATCTTTGAAATTCATTTTTTCTTTTTTTTAAACTTTACGAAACTATAACACTTTTGCCACGATCTGAACTGATAGTTGAAGATATTGTCGATAGTTTTGGAGGAATTTAAGTATAGGTTTGTAACATTAATTGGAGATAACGAAATATTGATTAAACGCAATGTTAAATCTTTTTATATACATTTAGTTATACACATTTTTATGAAATAACAAATTGTAATAAAAAGCAATATCGTTTCTTTAAAAAATTAAATCTTCGTATATCAAAGGGGAAAAAATAATTTTGTGATTTTTTTCATCCCAAAAATCTCGAGAAATCGAATCTCGAAATCGTTGATTCTTCCGACGGAGAATAAATAAGAAGAAATGGATACGTATTTCGCGTATCCTGACGCGTTTATTCCCAGCTCTGTGGAAAAGGGAAGGATTAAAAACTGTGCTCGTTGCCCCGAGAACTTTTTAAGATTCTTTCTTTCTTTTTTTCTTTTTTACGAGCAGCGACCAGGAACAAGTTATTCCGGGCGGCAACGTTAACCGAGCTTCTCCTCCTCGTCCGACAGAAGGGATAATACCGCGCTTATTAAACACGTGCCAGGATTAAAAAGAGACTAATCGCGCATTCTTGAAACGCAACGGTCTTTTCTTCACGGCCGGACGAATGTCTTCCTCCTTAATTTAAATATTACCTTTGCCACTCGAACAAAGGTTAATTGCTGACGCGCGCCATTCTCTCGAATCCGGATAAATTCGGTCGTAAATGCCGAATCATCCATCGTCGACGATCGGATTATCGGAGGTTCGTCATTTTTCAGTGTCGATTCGACGACAGAGTCGAACGAACGAATTTGGACGAGGATACAATTTTCGAGTCGATTAACGACAGAGCAGGAACGAGAGAACTCTAATAATAGAAACCAAAGATCTCAATCGCTGGTTTAAATATATCGGGCCGTTTCAAGAAAAGTCGACGAATATCGATTCTCGCTTCATTCATTTAAACGAGGATATCGGTTTTGACTCGATTAACGAGAAAATCTAACGTAGAAACAGAGAACTGGTTTAATCCTTTTCACTCCAGGAGTACCAATAACTCGACACGATTTGGTGAATTTCTTAGCCAAGTTGAAGTGATTTCACACACAAATTAACGTATAAAACTTTTGTATTCTAATATTTTATCTATCTTTACATATGGAGAAAGGTAATTTGTTGAATTTATTAAATTGTTGAATATTAAAAATCTATACTATGTGATATTTTATATAATAAAGTAATTATTAAGAAGCATCCTCGATTTCTCAAAGCAAATATCACAATAAAATGTCGTTACAAACCTCCTAATGCTCTCATTTATTCGATTGTTTGTCACTATTGTTTTCCTTCTCTCTATCGTCAATTTCTTAACGAATGGAAATAATTTTGTTACTTAACAACGAAAAATCAAACTCATGTCCACTTGAACTAATTTCATTACAGTATTCATACAGCTTACAAAACTTAGAAACTTTCAAAAAATAATATTTCTATCATCAAACTCGGACCAACGTCGAATATGTAGTTCGATCACGATCTAATTTTAAAAAAATCTAACCATTTGATAGTGTATTATTCTACACAGTGATGCCTGAGAGTCACCGTTGGAAAGGGTTAATATACCAGGTCATTCGAAGAAAAGTTAATCTCTGGGACGCAAGATGAAAACGTTTGCTAAAAATTCGTTCGATCGTCGTCGGAGGATTATCGATTCTCGAGTCGAGATTAACGAGAGAAAAGGGCTACAGCGGAGCAGCGGCGAGGCTGCAATGGGAGAAACTCGAGGCGCCTCGGTGTTGTCCAAAGATCAAACGTCACGAGCAGCGGGATCGCACTAGCCGTCAGACGCATCGGCCAACGAGAGTGCCGCGCCACTTGGCATCTCCTCTCTTAGCCGTATAGGATCGTTGACACAAACGCAATCCCTTAAACGCGGCTGACGGCGATATTACGCCTCCTCCTCCTCCTCATCCTTCGCCCATTTGTTGTCTCCCTTCCCTCCCCACCGATGCGCAAATCTCCTCAACTTTCTTCCTTTTTCCCCTCCTCCCTCTCTTTCATTAAGCTATGCGAAACTTTCCGCTGACCACAATCTCAACTTCCCTCTGCTCGCAACTTCCCTAATCCGACCGAATTCCCCGAAGAAGGAGCGGCGGGGGGAAAGGTCGCCTCGTTTGAAATCGTGAAAATCGGCCGATCGTTTGATGATTCAGCATCCAGAGAAAAATCCAGGGTTTCGAGGCGAGGCGAGGGCGGGAGTTAATAATAAAAGGGTAGGATCGGCCTAATCGATCGTGCACGCGTCGAAAGCGAAACCGAGTGG